ACTGTCCCACACAATGGAAATTATGACATTACTGAGCTAAGGACTATAAAATGTGGGCCAGTCACTTTTTATTTAGATTACTATCATTACCACTATTATTATGAGATGATATCCTACAGGGGTGGAAAAGATAGATTGCTTAATATTTAAGGTTCCCAAGAGCCTCAGTAGTAGTACCTGGACATTTTGGGCTGAAAAAAAAAAGCCAATCAAATTAATAAGTATCTTCATAGACATCACGACCAAAATGACACTAGAGGTAGATGGAAACTGGATTCCCATCCTTGCTAAAGGTGGAGTTGTGGTACATACACGCTTTCAGATTCAGCATGAAGGAAAGAAAACTGTCCCTAATATCTGCTTGAAGGCTGGCTCTATCCTAGGCCAAATTGGCCTCTTTCCTCTCTCTTTCTCTTTCAGTAGCAGGTGTTTACAGATAAAAATACACTTCTCTTCTAAAGCCAGAATTCAAGAATTCACACTGACCAATTCAGTCATCTAGATTTTTCAAAACTTGGCCCAAGTGATCTGGAGGGATTTAGTTATGGTTTAGCTGATTTCACTCATTATGCAAAGTAATAATGCTGAGATCATAAGAAGGGGCACATCATAGTAAACAACAAAAAATTCTTTATATAAAGGTACTGGAGTTCCTCCACACAGCCTTTTAGATGACAGAACACAGAATTCTGTTGGAACACTGAAGAGCTCCTCACTCGACTTCTTACTTCATGAGGAAGACACCCTTGGTGAAGGGCTACATACCTTCCCAATATCAGAAACATTTTCTATATTTTGAATGAAGCACTGAAATTTTTTTTCTTGCAAGTGCCACCCAGTGGTTCTGGCCTGGCTCTGCCTCATAATACAGAAAAAATATACTTCTTCTTCTATAAGAGCTCCTTTCTAAGAGCACAGCTCTCACAGTGCTCCTTGGTTATGTCCTCCCCAACTTCTCCAACCAATGCCCCCATTATCAGAACCCTCAACTCCTTCCAACCTGGTCCTGCTCTTCTGAAAGTGCTCATTTGTCAATGCCGGTTTTCCATGTTTCTAACTTTAAGAAAAAAATATGTATTTCCATATATGTATACACAGCTGAGATTTTTCAACAATTCTTTTGTTGTAGAAGTTAAATGGTATACTAGAAAAATACAATCATTTTTACTATTTGATTTAGGTAATTTAAATTCAGGGGGGGAAAAAAAGCATTCTCCATTCACTGTTAAAACCCAGACAGCCCCTAGGTGGCGCCAACTCTAAAGGCACCATCCTTATGAGTGGGCTTTCTGAATGCAGAGAGAATACAGCATGGACATTGATATGTACATGCTCCCCTACACATACACACACACACAGTTGGCTTTTTGTCTCCTCACCTGTGGATTTAACCAACCTCAGATTGAGTATATTTAAAAAAATAAAAATTGCATCTGTACTGAACATGTACAGATTTTTTTCTTGTCATTAGTCCCTAAACAACACTGCATAAACTATTTGCATAGCCTTGACACTGCATTAGGTATTATAAGTAATCTGGAGATCATCTGAAGTACATGGAAGGATCACATAAATTGTATGCAAGGGATCTGAGTATTCAAGGATTTTGGTATCTTTGGGGAGTCCTAGAGCCAAAAGTCTCAGATACTGGGACATAATCGTGTGTATGCACATGCATGTTCCCCCACTTCATTCAAACTGGTACCTTCGTTCTAATCTGGCAGGTTACAAAGCAGAGAAGTCTATACTTCCTTTCAAGTATGTTTGTTTATAACCAAGTCTATCTAATTTTGCTACCACTCTAAAACCCTTACAGATAAGGATTTAACTGCATCAAAAGCCAATCAGTGTGAAGTTTTGTTTTATGGTTTTCCAACATGTCACATGAGAATAGCATAGTCTCCTGCAGTGAGGGGAAAGAAATGCAGCTCCCACAGGTAAGGAGTCCCATGGGAGACAACAAGAGATCACCTTTGCCCCAGACTTCCAGTGTGTGAAATTCAAATGCAGAAAAAGTATGCCCTGAAAGCCAAGGTTCACTGAGATGGAACTGTAACAAGTGATGCTTCCCCTTGGGAAATACCTCTGAGATCTACCTGGTGCTGATGGCAGGCCAGAACCACCCCTGTGGCCACTGCCTGGGGTGGAAATCAGACAAAGGTATGGCCTAGCTTCTCCTTAACTGATTCCACTTCTCCCCAGAGACTTTTGTGCAAGCTCATAAAAGACATGATTCACACGGTATGGTTGGGCTTCTCTTCTGGGACAAAATTCTATCTGGGTGACATGTGTGCATATCCTATAGCCAATAAAAAGAGTGTCCCTCCTCATCCTTCTAATTCACTGACTTTAACTCCACCACACTAACATCCCCAACATTTTATGGGTTAATAAAACACATAAACTTTGAATGTTGTCTATCATGTGTATGAATTATTTATCAGAAGTAAACTTTTAATTTTAATAATTCACTAATAAAACAGATATCTCTTTAGGGTTGTGCTTAGTATTAGGCAAAAAAAAATTTTTTTTTCAGTTCTCCAGTGACAAACAAATGTTGAATTGAATTAATGCCTTTTCTTCTCTTTTGCAAGTTAGAGAATTTAACCCAAGGGATTTCTTATAACCCCATTAGCACTGACTGTTCTTTTTCTATCAAACTACAATAATATGTGACAGGCTTTACGACAGCATGGACTCTCCTCTATCAAGTCAGCACAAGAGGGAGAGAGATGGACAACCCTGACCAAGCCCAAAGATCTCTTCTTTCCTCTTAGAGAGAGGAAAGTGTTCAACTTACCTGATTTTTCTCATTTAGAAAAAAAAGTAAAACATCCCCAGAAGAATAAATATGTGACTTCATTTCATGTTATAGAGACCGTTATGAAAGAGAAAGGATTACAGAAAAAAGAAAGCATGAAGAACAGGAGTGAGAGAGAAAACCGGGAGTTGGGAGAAAAGAGAGAACCAGACACGGAAAGGGAGTGTGAGGAGCAGCACAGGAAGAGGCACTCAGACATGGAGAAAGGACATCAGTGGCGGCTGGGAGGGAGAGGCAGGCGGGTCTGGGAGGCTGCAGCGCCCTGAGCTCAAGTCAACCTCTCTGTTCACACCACCGGGGGTATCTCTGTCCTCCTAGACTGGGTGCGTTTATGAACCCACTTGCCTTCACAGCTTTCTAACTGCAATACTTTGTGTGGAGAAAGCCCTCTTTTAGAAGGAGAATCACCAGTCCACACCAGACATATGAAGAAATCCCTGCCTGGGTAAGTTCATGTGGGAGCCAGAAGAAACTGCTGAGAGAGCCACATCCATTCTAGGGCTGAAGTCTCCCCACCACAGGAAGCACTCCTGGTCCTGAGGCTTTGCGCTGCTGCTTACCTCTTCGACCATCTGCTTGACTTTCTTCTGCTGGCAATGCACCATGTCATCTAGGTGTCTGATCCGTTCTCGCAGGCTGGCTGATGCCTCCTCCAGCTGTTGATACCTATCATAGGGAGAAAAAAGCAACTGAGTCCACAGGAGGTCACCGCTTTGTAGAAATACTGCCAAAGAAACTCCAAGACAGGTTCTTCTTACAGTGCACAACCTAGATGACTAGAAGGAAGACAGGACTCTTCCAAGTTCCCACTTTCAAGTTGTATCCTATGTAAAGCCAATTGCTACACCTTCCGGGGAAAGAGAATTTTTTTTTTCCACTTACAGGTATGATAGCAGAAAAGGAAATATAACATGCAGTATAGAAAGATGTACCCAGAAATACAGAAAAGACAGTAGTCAGGGTTAATAGGATTGGAGCATCCAGTTGCCATGATTAGGAAGACAGAGAGGGAGAGTCTAGCATCACAATAAAATATGTGAAATCCAGGGCAAGAGTCCTAGAAAAGCTGGAGTCAGAGTTAGCCTACACATAATTTATTTGGGATAAACAGAGAACATGTTGAAAGACCTTCTCCACATCAAAACAGAGTCGCTCAGGTCACCGAGCATTTCATCCTTTTGTTTTGAAACAGCACAAATGATTCTCTGGCTTTGTTTGGTTCAAAGAAACCAAAGGAGCCCCAGATGACTCTAGCTTTGGGGGCCCCCAGCATGGAGCATTAGAGGAAGGGTTTGGTAGTCTGCACCTCCCAGCTCTGCCAGGTCCCTCCTCAATACTACAGTTAAAAAAAAAACAAAACACTTCTATAACCTTGACAACTCTGAAGTTACATAAGAGGAAGGAAGGGGCTGGGGCTGGGGCTCAGTGGTAGAGCACTCATCTAGCAAGGGTGGGGCACTGGGTTCGATCCTCAGCACCACATAAAGATAAATAAATAAAGGTATTATGTTCATCTACAACTAAAGCATTAAAAAAGAGGAAGGAAAACAGGTATTTTTTCAGCGTATACTAAGTGGTGAGAAGTATGGCCTAAAGTTCCGTCCTAATGTGATCCAATAAGAGGGACCATGCTTTCAACATTATCACCCTTTCCGTCTTTAAAAAAAGAATTCTCATTTGACAGTCTAGTAAAGAGCCTTAGGGAAGTTAAGTAACTCAACCAAAGTGCTCCAATATTCCAGCCTCCTTTCCTTCAAGGGTCAGCCATGGGAGGGCTACTGCTCTGCCTTTCCATATCTAGAGGGAAAGTGGACGACTACCGTATTTTCCATCCAGGGTTTTATATGCCCATAGCCAAAGGGCAATCCAAGGTTTGGAAGTTTAAAAAAAAAACATTTTAAAATTAATTTCCAGGACAAACAGTATTAGTCACAGTTGATGAGCTTTCTCATCAACAAGGTGCATCCTGCAGAGTTCAAGGCTCGGGAGAACATTTATAGATTGAACTTTTGCACTTTCGGCATCTTTGATGGGCTCCAGTGTGTCCAACAACTAGTGCAGGGGAAAGGTGGCTGTAAGTGCCTAAAAGAACCTGCTCCACCCTGGAAGCTCTCAATCCAATGTCACACTTGCATAAGTTTCTAGTAAGTGAAAACCACATGAGTGAAAACGCAAGGGTCAAATGAGCCCACAAGAACAGGGCGTACCCCCCTTTGATATTCATAACGTGACAAAGGGTATTTCCTCTTACCTTTCCTTGTCAGAATCACTGATTTCCCCTGACATTTCTGTTTCATGCTCCAGGAGTTGGAGTTGCAGTTGATGCCGTTCCTAAAATCAATACAAATTGTAATCAATGGATTAGGAGCTGCACAGCAGATATGCACATGTCAAGAATTTCCAGCTCTAGTGACTCTCCAGGTCTGTACGACCACCCCACCCCCCGGGGGGCTTTCCACACCACTGGCACAGAGTCCAAAGTTCAAAGGTGCCAGACCTGTTGATGTGCATTTACAGCTGTATTTATGGATTTAGTGACAAGTACCCTGGATAAAACCACATTCAAGATTTTTTTAATATTTATTTTTTTAGTCATAGTTGGACACAATACCTTTATTTTATTTATTTATTTTTTTGTGGTGCGAGGATCGAACCCAGGGTCTCACACGTGCTAGGCGAGTGCTCTGCTGCTGAGCCACAACCCAGCTCCAAGATTTTTTAAAGAGTATTCCATCAGCCCAAGCCCTAAATAGTGGTAATCAATGCTCCAAGTTAGTAGTTCTGGGATTCTGGTAATGTCCTATGTTCTAACCTAGCAGTGTTTACACAGATATCACTTTTAAAAAATGTACTGTGGTTAGAATAATGGTCCTCTCAAAGATATCCATGTCCTATAAGCATGTCATCTTATACATAAAAGGGAACTTACAAAGTTCCCTAGATGTGGTGAAGGATCTCTGGGCCCTTACTAGAAGGAAGCATTAATTAGACTCAGAAAAGTTGGAAGATACTACAGTTCTGGCTCTGAAGTTAGAGGAAGGGAACATAAGCTAAGGAATACAGGAGCCCTTAGAAGTTAGAAGAGGTAAGGAAATGGATGTTCTAGAGCTTCCGACAGGAATCCAGCCCTGCCAACATCTTGAGTTGAGGACTTCTCATCTCCAGAACGGAAAAAGAATAAATTGGTGTTGTTTTACGCCACTAACTTTGTGGTAATTTGTTACAACCATAATGAGAAACATATCCTTCATCATATATATGTAAATTTTAAAGTTGACCTTTAAAAAGTAAGAATTTGGACAATTATTTCTTTGGAGAAAGTAGAAAAATGTTAAAGCGTGGTGCTCATCATCACTGAAATTGTACTAGAAATTCATTATAAATGTCAATGTGATACATTCCCTTAAAGTGGAAGTTTATCGAGTCCTGCTCACTCAGTGGGAGGAAAGTATTTTACTTTCAATCCTCTTCCAAGAACTACTGTGCCTCATCTTTATGTTCAGGAATTTTCTCCAATAAACTCCTACAAATTCTATAGATATCAAACCCCTTTTCCACCAAGTTATTAAAAGCGAATCTTTGAAACTTTACCTCCCACTCCTGTTCCCAAGGGGAAAGCAGGAGGGGCCAGAAGTCTCCAGCCTGGCCAGGGCACATTGGGAAAATGAGGGAAGGCTGGCTTTTGCTGGGGCTTTGTTATTGTTTTCAAGACTCCACAGCAGACACATATTCATAAAGCCTGGCTTGGGCAGAATGTGCACCCTATCTTTGTACTACGCCATCAGCTCTGAAGGAAGGGTGACAAACCTTTCACAAATGGGTATTTCTCCACTACACAAGTAGAGGGTCACACAATAGGACAAGATCTAACTACAGAACGTGATAAAAATTCTATTTTTTAAACAGTGAGATATAACCAACCTTCAGTGTACACTGCACAAAAGTTTCTTTCATTTGCCTACACTTGTGAAGGTTATCTTTTCCTGAAGAGGCCCTGGGGGAGCACATTCCTTAGATTTTCACTGAATAGAAACAAAGATGCTTCCAACATCACACTCAGTGAGAGAAACAGAAATGTGGTATGAAGTAGAGAAGCCATTCAAAAGCACACAGTTTGTCCTCCAGCAAAATCCAAAAGTAGAGGAGAGCAGGACACAAACACTGCCACCATTCCCACCTGTGGACACACTGCTCACATGCAGTGAGTGGGACAGAGATCTGGCCAGATGCCTGCTTGCAAAGATTTATCCCTGAAGGGGAAAGAGCGTAAGTGGGTATATCTAATCTTAGCTAAATAAAGGAAGCATTTCTATAGTCTAAATGGACAGGAAGATTTAGAGAAAGGATAATAAATTTTCAGTCACTAAAGAAAAAGCCAACAGGATTTGAGGAACCTTTTGTGTTCCCTGAAGTGCTGGCAAAGAAGGCTAGCCTCACCCCCTTCCTGGACTTCCCTCCCATTTGCCTCACGTAAGGGCTACATGTGGAAATCAGTGGGAGCAAACTAGAAACTTGGAGAAAGCCAAGGGTACCAAGAAGACCACCTATAAGATGGGCCCTGCGAAGTGAAAGCTCCTGGGGCAGACACTTAGGCAAAACTGTAGCAAAATAAAAATTGAGGTCATAAATTATTAAGCCCTTTATCATGTGCCAGGTACTATGCTCAGTTAGCATTTGGCATGGACTTTCCCCCGTCATTTATATCTCACAAAAGCCATTAGGATAAGAACTAATATTATCAGTATTTTCAGAAGAGGAAACTGGGTTTTAGAAAACACAACTAGAAAGACAGGCAAGGTCCAAACCCTGGGTCTGTCTGATTTTAAACACTGTGTTCTCACCACACACATATACTCTTTCTGGAAGATTCTTTGCTGCCGAAGCCACCTCTCCAATACTGCCTGCTTTTTTATGCAGCAGTAGAAACTGCCATCTAGACACTGTGTTTGACTTAACCAGCATATTCTGCTTTGTAGGAGAATGGTGATCAGGGGAACGTTCACCCAGGTTCTAGAAAGTGCCCCTATTGTCGCGTCTTCACTATTGTGATCACCTCCAGTCAATACTGATATTATTCCTAAATGAGCAAACAAAGTACAGGTGGGATTCTGTTTCCCAGGGGTAGAGGTGAGAGCATAACTCCCAAATTAGGATATTTGCTCAAAAGGAGCCTTCAGTGAACTCAGAAGCTCCACAGCCCTGAATTTAATGCAGTTTCCCCTCTGGTTAGAACTCACCTTATGAGAGGGCTGTAAAGGGGTTATGTGGCAGATACCGAGGGGGATGTAAAGGGACCTTTCCTCTAAAAAACAAGGAAGCCTGGGCCGTGACCTTGCTCATTGTCATTTCTCCGAATCCATCATCAGTTGGAAGATTCTCAGCATGCACAGTGAGTTACAGGGTGCTAATAATGTCTGTCTTGACAGGTCACCTCTATCTGCAACCTGGTAGGCACCTAGCGAGCCAAGGCTTTCCTTAAAACCAGCCACAGCTTTGGCCCTGAACTCCTGGGCCATCCCCAGGAAGTCAGTGTTAGGTGCTAAATATCACCCATTCTTCCTCTTCCTTCCTGTCCTCTGTCCCCTCTCCTACCCCTCTCCCCTTTTTTCCACTTCCTGTCTAGTTTCCAGCCTCTTCCCTTTCTCTAGAGGGTTTCATTATCTCAGCTGTGCTCCTACTTCCCAGGCCCCTATCCCCACCCCTCAGCCTGTGTACCACTCCCACAGAGAATGTGGCTTTCCCAGCTCCTCCCAGTCCCTAGTCCCAGGCGTGTCAGGGAAAAGTCAACATGCCCCAGACGCATGCCCCATAAACAACAGGATTGGGGTGTTGGCTGGCTGAACATCCAAATAGGGCTGGATTACTCAATGAGTAAACTACATGCCTGCCTGGAGTATTAGCAAAGCATGGATGCTAAAAATAAAATTAAATTTAATTTAATTTAATTTAAAAAGGAGTTTTTGTAAAGAATTTCATGTATAATATTTTTAAAGGCATGGAAATTAAGTAATCAAAGTTACTAAGGGAAAAATTTGAATTCTATCGGACATTCTCATATTTTATTTTATAGTTTTTTTTTTGTTTTTTAAATTGCAAACTGGGGGGCTGAGAGGAATCAGTGTTGAGGGCTTCTGTATTTTCAGATAGGCCTGCAAAGCACCTGCAGAAATGCAGCAGAGGCTGGGAAAGTGGGCAACTGTGTCTGGTACCTTCTCCATGCGTTCAATGAGTCTGTCCAGCTCCCCAATCCTCTGGTCTTTCTCCTCCAGGCTGATCTCTGCTGCCTGCATTTTTTTATTGGCTTCTTCAATTGCTTTCAGAAAACTGTTGGTTTCTTCCTGCAAAAGAAATATCCTGTCCTCAGTATAGGCATGGACTACCTAGGCTACTACAAACAGCTCTGGTCTTGGTAGACCATGATTTACCTGTAAAAGCCAAACCTCAGGAACTAATTCTCTGACAAACTATGATCTCAACTTCTGTGATTCTGGTTCTCACTTCTGAATAAAGACTTATCATGTGGTTTTCTAATGTGCCTCAAATCTATTTCTCCTTTTCCCCTTGAAAACGTATATACAAAAGGCATAAAGAACCTGTGACCGTTCAAGTAACCTTGAGCAGATGCTCAGAATGTCATTGTATTTGCCAATAGAATAAAAGGAATTAGGGTAAGATCTGGATTGGAATGCAGAATTCCCAGATCTTTATCCCTTACTGCAATACACCAACTCACTCTTAAGGGGAAAAAAACACAAAAAAACAAAACAAAAAAAAACAACCCAACTCAGTCATCTGACACATTTACTAAGCCTCTAAGGATGCAGACAAGGCAGACATGGAGTCCCTGCCTGCAAAGAATGTACGCTGTCCTATGAAAGCAAGACGTGAGACACAGCTCAACACTGTGACAGGTACAAAAAAATTCCACAGCAGAGAGCAGAGATGGAGTGGCTTCCCAAGGACTGAGGACATTTCTAGATGCATGAATGGAAGAGACCCAGGCATGGAGAGGGTGGCACTTACAGGGGATTTAGGAAGCCCAAGAAGACTCTTGGATGGGGAGGCAGAGATTCCAGGTAGAAAGGAGATGCTGCCACATGGTTAGCTGAGAAAGGCATGCATTTAGAGACCAAGACTTGGGCTACTCTTAGTAGGGAAGGGGATGAATGAAGGCAGGAAGTGGAGAGAAGAGGGAAGTGGATGAGCAACAAATTCCCTGATCCCTACCACTTCCAGCCCGCTGTCCCTGTAGGAAACCTGACCCTTACTCCTCGTGTTCCAGATTCCAGTGGGTGCTGCCCCTACGCACCAGGAGTGCCTCCTTCTCGGCGCTGTGCTTCCGCTGCTCCTCGTGCAGCCTCTCTTCATACTGGCTGTACAGCTTCTTGGTCATCTCTCTCATCACCTCAGCATTGGCTTCTTGAGAAGATTCCACCTGCAAAGAGACTCATTTCAGAACTGCAGCTTTTGCAGGTCCCAGGGTGATCAGCAGCTTTCCCTGTGGGTATGTGGTGCATTGACACACAGAGTTAGGGAGCAGGTCACCCAAAGCTCTCAGTAGAGGGAAGCAACAGAAACTCTCAGGACAGGGAGGGAAGGAACAAGGAAGATGGGCACAAACCAAAGTGGCACTGTACATTGATTTTTTTTTTTTTAGGATGTTCAGGACAAAGGTGGTCCACATGCATGAATTTTTCAAATGGTAGAAACTTAGCTTCTCTGCACAATCCTATTAATTATGTTGGCTAAGCCAGTCTGTAGGTCAGACTTTATTTAAGTTCAAATAAGAAATATGGACTCTCCCTTCCCTACCTGTGTCCTTTCCCAAATGTTACATTTGGAAGCACTTTGACCTAGTGGGGATACTAATTTGGGCACTTTAATTGGCCTGAATGGGCACAGTTTGGTAGATGAGACAACGCAGTAGCACTGAGGGTGGGCAGGGCTGAGATTGGGAGAGCTGGGGCTTCCTTTTTGACCGAGCATCGTTCTCACACGTGAACTCTGTGCTGTGGATCTCATGCCAATGGGGACTTGCTCCCATGCTCCTTCCAAGTGAAGAAATGTTCAACCAAGAGAGCTGAGTCTGCCGCATGCATAGCCTCAGGATAAGGGAGGAGTCCTTCAACCTCAGTAGGTTAAGTGATGTTTACTCCAAAGGTGTGACTTTTGATACCCTTTAATTCTCTCATCTCATCACTAAGCAAGTGTTGGCACCAAGAAACCACCAAATGGAAACTCCCAGGCAGAGGTTATCATTTATCTGAGAGTCTTGGTCCACAGCACAGGGACTGCAGGAAAGGACTCTGTCCCAGAGGTCAGATCACTCCACATTCAGGTCGTGCGGAAAAACCCTGAGTTCCTGTAACATTTTTTCTTTTTATTTGGGAGATAAAATAAGAGAAAGGGTAGGGGAAAGAACCCTCTTGAACTCCCCTTGTGAGCATAAAAATAAGCATCAGTCTATGAAACAGGCCTGGACTTGGAGGCCTGGATTCCAGAAGCAACAAGACTGCCAAGCGGCCTAATGATATTCCTCCATGTCTGGTGACATGCCACCCAGAGCAAACTGGAATACACAGAGCAAACATGCATAGTAAACACTCAGTCAGTATTTGTAGAATAAATAGGCAGATAAAGATCCTGTGTTCAGGAAAAGGCTTCATT